TATCTAGTTGTTTGTGACAAATATTCATAAAATCTGCAATCTGGTTATTAGATAGTAGAATTTTTTTTTTTATTGGTCATTAAATTATATTCACACGTAAAATATAAAATAAACGTGAATTGAAATTAATTTAAAATCAATTAATGAATAGTTTATGTGACGATGCGCATGCACTGTAATTTTAAACCTCTAGTACTGCAACTTTATACGACTCACGTATGTACATGTATTAAACTTTAAACTGTTCGTTAACAATATTTAGAAATTTCTCATCAGACAAGCTTAAAATCTACGGTGCTTTCTAGGCAATAGAACAAAGTTAAGCCTGTGACAGCTGTCGGCAGGTGTTACCAATTATTTAAACGTCCAATTTCCTGTTAGAGGTTTTCTTCAAAAGCAGTTAAAACAGGTTTTGCTCCTGCGTCTGCAATTTGTATACAATGAGCTTCGAAAATGTAAATATAACTGCTAAAGTAATCGTGGAATACAAAAGTACCATACAAATCAATTTCTTGCATTTACTTTGTCCCAATTGTTTCAATAAAAAATCTCTCACAAAAATCATAAAAATCTTTTAATAAAAAATCACATCTATTTAAATGCAATCTCTCACATTTCCACACATGTATAAAAAGAAATTATTCTACGTCAATTTTAAACGTGAAAAATACGTACCATGAATTTTTGTGAAAAAAGTAAATGAATAAGGAAGTGCAGTCTCTATGCAATGGCTTTTTTATGACAACACTGTTGCTTCTAATTCAACATAAATCACCATCCTTAAAACAATTCTAAATAAACCGTCACTTCTGATTGGCGGTACATTAGGCTTAATGCTCCTACAATTTTCTTCTAAAACTGTTTGAACGAAGTTGAATGCCACTTGCTATTTTCTATGGGTAATTTGATCGTGTAGTAAAAAAGAACGCTGTGCACACTTATCAAGCGGTAATCGACCAATGACTTGCATTTCGTCGAAATGTTTAACATAGAGCCTTGTATTAATCCTTTGGTCACTTAAGATTATTATTTTAGCTAGTGTAATAAATAGCGTATTTAAGAAAAAAAAACAAATATTTAATTTTAAATCGTATCTACTGTTTAGATAAGTTACGTTACTTGTTGCAATAAATACTTAAAATTATACGATAAATAACATACTAAAATTTAACAAGATTCCAAGATATTTATTATTATATATTTTGCTGTACTGATACTTTGTTTACTGCGTTTACGATAGAGTTCCTTGAATGATCTAAATTTTGAACAATATGTTATGTACCCCCACATGTTTTGTACCCTCACAATTAGAGAAGATATTTAGGTGGTCTTATTTAGGTAGACCACCTGTATACATATGTATAAGTACATTATAGATATTTCGTTATATATGAAAATTGATGCTTCAAATTTTAAATAAATTTAATTTTCTAAATTTGTACTTTCTAATTTATGATTTACACCAACTTTTGTTATCAAAAATATCTTAGTTTAAGATGAAAATATTGCATTAGATGTTTCAAACTCACTAGATAAATTCTATATTTTATTTGACAATATTTATGCTTCTGATTATATTATATTACTACATACATATGTACATATATTAAACGTAAATTATATATGTAAATAACTACTACGTAATCCAATATATTAAACGTATATCTTAAATATATGGAATATATGGAATATATATATGAAATATGTGGAATATATATATATATATCATGAAACGCCATGTATTTGTGATTTCAGAAATTTTATTTTCCGAAAGCAAGAAAACCTTTACGTACATTTTACGACATTTACGTACCTGTGAACGCTATGGACATCACACGCTGACAGTTAATCAACTTTCTTGTTAAAAAACCTTCAAACCTGAATTAACTACTTCGTCGATTGCACGAGTGCGAGCATTACCTTATAAAACTGATTACAACTCGAGAACACAAGCTAATAACAACACTCGTTTACCCAGTATGTTTCATTATGATTGTTCTCGCACGTAACGCTATTTAATATTAAGTGCCTCACAAACGAGAAAGTAATGGAACAAAAATGTTCATTGTTCACGGTATCCTTGCTTACAGAATAAATGCAGTAGACATTGCCCAGTTCCGCGGAAAA